CTGAATCCAGCTAAAGGTAAACACAGACATTCATTTCTCCTTTCCGTTATGTTCAGATAATGTCAGATAATTATACTAACAATCCGAGCCTATCTGTGTGGAAAAAAATGCACTTTTAGTGGACGTATTTTGACGTTGTTTGACGCTGTCTGAGTGCCCTATTATTTAATATAGCGCGCGCTCACGGGCTGCAGGCAGGTCAGCCCTAGCTTCGTACTGGAGAAATGTCAAATATTGAACATCCTATCACTCATTTAGACAAGAGTAGATCGGAAAATAGGGCCCAGGTTGAAAAAAACATTAGTTCCCCTTTAACATGAACTTCTCCACTCGTCCTGTCCGTGCCCTGCAGCGAAGTTTGGGAAATTGGATGACTCTGATTTGGAGGTTTTCAAGAAACAGGCTGCGTGCCTCAACCTCCCACCAGAATACCACTTTGGAGAAACCACAGGTAGAAGCTGATTCACTGCTACACACAAACACACACATGGCAGTAGTGAGTATGTGTCACTTATTACAGCACTTATAAACTTCCTCCTCCTGTTTCAGACCTGTGTCCTGATGAGAACGTGGCTGCCACAGATGTAAAAGAAGAATAGAATAGAAGAAGAATAGAGACCTGAAGTTACTCCATGAGTCAGATTTGTATTCAAGTATGCTCCTCTCTTAGATGTCTGTAAACTCCCAGTACCACACAGATGTCTTGATAGATGTGAAGATGACACCTTTTTTTCATCCTGCAGGGGGGTTTAATGCGAGACAAGAGGGATTACAGCTTTTTTTAAGTGTGAGAGTGCCTTTTGAAAACAAAGAGCTACTTAGCCTGTTAAAGTTATTCATCATGCCAGACTTTGTAGATTGCTGTATTAAAGAGAACCGAATAAACTGATTTCACATTCAGTGTCAGATTCATGAATCACAGTGGATGCCACTTGAATGTCTTTTTCTGTAAAAAGTCCAATAAAAGGAAACACTGGATGTTTGCATGTGAAAGGAAGAAGAGGAAATCAATCACTCAGGCCACAGGGCCATTCTTAGTCCAGGCTGGTTTTCTTAACGCGTTGGTCAGACCCAAAGTAGGACCAAAGTACAACTCAGGGTCTGTTCCAAAACAGTGCAGACACAGCTTCTATGTAATATGGCTGCGTGGAAATACACATGACAATCATCTCTACCTTCAGCTAGACAGAGGGAGCCTTATGGGCCATACATGCTTCCATAGGTGATAAATACAGTGTCAAAGTTACACAAACTTCTAACAAAAAAAAAGGTATATGAAAGAAGTTCACATGGGATTATTGTCAAAATACAAAAGCATGTAATAATCCGATGCCATCATACTGCATCAGCATGCTTCTATTTTGCATGAATGCAATCTGTTTGTACTTTCTGGCTTTTGGCATTCATGGCTGACACTACGAGCCTCCAGTGATCTCTGCGAAACACTGTCCAACTCAGGCTGCAACAGAGTTTTATGACTCAAAGCTATTGTTATGGACTGTGACTAAAATGTGTGTGTGTGTGTGTGTGTATGTGTGTGTGTGTGTGTGAGGGGACTTAAAGATGTAAATACTAAGCAGGGCTGTGGACTGGCTGACTGTTACATTCATGCATACTCTTGTTCTAGCTTAACACTACTTCTTTTCAAGATGTCTTCTTGTCGGAGGGCCCCTTGAAGGATGGAATGCAACGTATTTACGCGGCTGTGAGAAACTTTTGGAGCCCTTTCAGAACATGTCTTGCACTGTGTGGAGATTTTCCTGAAAGAAGTGAAAGATGGTGGCTTGTAACCTTTTTTAATCCTGAAAGAGTAGTGCAACTTCCTCTCACTTATTTCACCAGGCTCACTTTAAAAGCCAACTTTGGTATTTTTTCAACCTGGACGCTATTTTCCCATGTTTTGTGTCAGAGTGAGTAACGGTAACAACAATTTTTGAAATTGGCCCAGTATTGAGCAAGAGCACCGCACTGTAATCGTTTGAGCAATGTAGCCTACTGCAAATGCTTTGTAAGTGTTTTACAAAGAAATTAAACTTTTTTCTTTATCCTTCTACTTGATCAGGTCTGTTTGGTATTGTATCTAACCAACGTCTCGCTCAAGAAGAAGCTTCGTTCTGAAGTCTTGTGAGCTGAATTGTTGCAAAACTAAATGTGAAAGGTAAAGAAAGACACTTAAGCCCCGTTTCCACCAAACACTTTCAGTATGGTACCTTTGAAACCAAAAGTAACCCTGCAGACATAGCACCTAGACCCTAGGTCCGCTTAGTGTTCCCCCCGCTTAAATGTGGGTGGGGTTGTTGTCACTCACTGCTGCGTCCAGCACTCCAGTTTATCATCCACAAGGTTGCATGCTGACATTTTCAGAACAAAATAAAACAGCCTACACTCAGAATCTCTCTCTGTATGGGATATTTAAAAATAGCAGGATTGTGCATTTAGTCCTTCTCAAGCAAACTCAGGGGTTTAGTGTTGGCGGAGCACACAGCAATGATGCTCTGCAACGCTTTTTTTACTTCCAAGTGAGGATTAGAATATATACAGTTCACATAATTTGGTTGAAATTAATATATATTTTTAAACATTTGAAGATCCAGTCATTACTAAAAGTGTATGTCATCCAAAAGAGTCAATAAAAACTAAAGTAAAGTTGTCTCATCCATCCATCCATTTTCAAACCACTTATCCTCTTGAGGGTCGCGGGGGTCTGGAGCCTATCCCAGCTGACATTGGGCGAGAGGCAGGGTACACCCTGGACAGGTCGCCAGACTATCGCAGGGCTGACATGTAGAGACAGACAACCATTCACACTCACATTCACACCTATGGACAATTTAGAGTCACCAATTAACCTGCATGTCTTTGGATTGTGGGAGGAAGCCGGAATACCCAGGGAAAACCCACGCTTACACGGGGAGAACATGCAAGCTCCGCACAGAGGGGCTCCCTCCTGGGATCGAACCAGGAACCCTCTTGCTGTGAGGCGACAGTGCTAACCACTGCACCACCATGCTGCCCCAAAGTTGTCTCGTTGAAATTTAAAAGGTGTGCTGATGGATTCACGTCGTCAATTGAGTAGCATTACAATCAAATTTTCCACCTTAAAAGTTGCTGGCAGTCGGCCCAGTGAATTATTTTCTCAGACAACTGCTGCTGCAAGAGGCAGCAAGACATCCTTTCATTTTATAGGCACAGTTTACTAATATATGTATAACTCTCCACGGTGTGAACAGTGGTTACATGAGCCTCAAACCAGCCACAACTCAGCCCTGAGCAGAGTGACCGTCAGCTATTGACCAATCAGCAGACTGCAGTGTTCACAGCAGTCTGCTGATTGGTCAGCAGACTGCAGTGTTCACAGCTCCACCTTTTCATACCAGATCTGTGTGCTAGGTACCCCAACAGAGGGGGGACCAAAAATGGGGATGGTACGGAACGGTTCCATTGGTACCATCCACAACTTTTCACTGTGGAAATGACAAAAAGCATACCAAACTGAACCGTATCGTACTGTACTGCTTTGTGGAAACCGGGTTTTAATTATCTGAGCTGGTCAGTAATAAAAACAATCACGTTAGATGGACGCACATGACAGTGCGCTATCGTCGCCAAGATCATATCGCAGCCCTGTTTCCCACTGCCAGCCACAGCACCCTTGCTAAATACTGGACCAATTTCTAAAATAGTTGTCTCCATTAGTCACTTAGATTCAAAACATAGGATCAAACAGAGTCCACATTGAAAAGTACTAGTTTCCCCTAAACCATCATGTATCCAAAAACATTTCCTGCAAAACGAAGCTGTAATATGTCTGCCACTTTAACATGACTTATATATGGCTTCAGTATTAAAACATGGCACCTAAAGGACTTTTTTTTATGTTACATAACGCAGCCTTAAGTGCACATAAATAAAGAGTGACACACACAAAGAGAGACACACCATTTACATAATGGCATATGCAGTACTGCATGTGTGAGTTACATAATCTATGTGTACTATATATTTTAAGATTTAGTTTAGATTTTTATCCGTAGCCAAAAACTGAGCAAGCACAAAACATACTCAAGAACACATGAAACACATTTCACCACAAAATTTGCTTTGAATCTGAATTGTCCCTCTGCCACAGATCAAACCTTCCACATATGAGGCCATGAAACACAACTGGTGATTCTTTACCCAGCATTGACAACGGCATTTTGCAAACAGACCGTATGTCGATTGTCCTCATCTCAGGGTCTCTGTGTGTTTACTTCAGATAAGGAATTTGGAGATGGAGCTGACCAGTTAGACCTTATCAACATCTGGTACAGGGTGTGTTTGCAGAGCACAATATTAGATAAGTGACAATGCCCTGATTGGCCCCAGTGTTTCACAAGAATACAGTATGTTGTTGAACTGTGACACACTCGTGCAGTATTATTATCACTTTTAGTAATGATTTTTGTCCCCATAGAAACAAAAAACAGAGGGACCCATCTCTGAACTGTGTCCCTGGAGAAATGGAGGCAGTACATGTTACGTAAGCTCTCACCCACCCTGCAGAAACAAAAAGTTACTTGATGTCAAAGACGCTAAATGCCCGTTTTGTGTGTGTTCAGTGAATCGGCAAATAAGAAATATGTTAAGATGAGTTTATGGAGATATATGAAATGTTTTGGAGCCATTGTTGAAATAAGATATAAGGACAGTAGAGGAGATGTGTGTGTGTGTGTGTGTGTGTGGGTGCGTGTGTGTGTGTGTGTGTGTGTGTGTGTGTTTCTTTTCACTTTTTCTGCCTTTGTGCCTGTGTGTGACTCTGTCCAGGGGGGTGTTCACATATTGAAAGATGCAGGGGTCTTGCTATTCAGACTCTGCCAGCTGGCTGTTATGTAAGGGGATAAATAGGACACAAACCCTTGCTGACTGGATGTGAGAAGTGACGGTGTGTGTGCATGTGTGTGCGTGCATGTGTGTGTGTGTGCCTGTGTGTGGCCCAGCCCACTGTTACGGAACACTTCCCCCGGTTGCTTTGAGGAGGCTCTAGCTGGCAGGATCCCTGACATTAGTGTTGCTCTCTGGCTGCCTGCTGTCTCGAGCCATGTCTTCACAGCTGGTTGTAGCTCTGCTGGCCCTCGCCTCCCTGGGTGCTGCATCTGAACTGGACTGTAAAGACCTGGTCAAGCCTCTGGTACTGGACAGCCACAGCCCCGTGAGTATCAGCGATCATTTGGTAGGAGCAGGTCATATGAGAGGAGGCTCTGTAGCCCAGCGCTGTGTGTTAGGAAAACTCCAAGAGCTGAAACTGTATAGGTTTAAGTGTTACATTCAATTATGCAACAGTGCATCTGTGTAGCCAGTCTGTTTAATATTTTATCTTGGTTTATTGTTTTACATAAAGCTCAAGCATATTCAGTTTATCATGCACATTAATGCATCTTGTATATCAAGACTACAGAAAACAGCTGTGATATTATGTGACTTCAGCAGAGAACATTTTTAATTCATTTGCAGTCCTTCACTTACTTTTTTCCCAGGAAATTTAATTCTTTTTAAATATGTATATCAATTCAGTAGTGAACAATGTTCCCACAAGGTCCATTAAGCTGTTCTGGTGCTTTCGATCATATTGCAAACAGGCTTCTTCAGCAAATACTGCACGGTTGCCCAACAGAAACAATGATGGCAAAACAAAGGAATGATATATCTGTATGTATCTCTTTAAAAACATTTTCTTTTGCTTCTCTTCTATTCTGTTCTTTTGGAAAATAAAGTATGAGCTCACTCCAGCATAGTTGCAGCCCAATCGTGTGAGTGACGTGTGTGGATGTTTTGCCTCTGTGCTTGTGGCAGATCTATGGGAAGTGGGTGCTCCATGTTGGGGCGTGGGACCAGCCCGGCCTGAAGAATGACCTGGCGACGGTGAACAGCTCCTGGGTGGATCTGTCGCCTTCCTCGGACAACGGGGTCATGACCATCTACTGGTCCGACCGCCTGTAAGGACACTGCATGTATTGTGATGTTCTCGCACATAGAAATGGCATTTAAGAGTGTATTGAAAGGTTGACATGGGTCATGACCTCTTTTTCTTTTTTCTTTTTTCTCATCACAGAGGTGAAGATAGATGCCTGCAGGGTATCGCCAATGCCACCATCTCGGGGATGACCAGTCACACCACTTGTACGTGTTACGCCCTGTCTCATCATCTCTTTCTGTGCTGTGTGTTGTTATGTGGGTGATGCATGCAGCCAAAGCACATTACCAAAGTATAGGCTGGATTTAATAAAGAAAACGTCATACAAGGCTCCAAATACAGTATTTAAAATAGATGAAAATTGGAAATAAAAACCCTCAGATTTCATATCTTGCATTATGTTTCCCTGACAGTTATTATCAACGGTCACACTTCATATCATGATGGGAAGTACTATGAAACCTGCGCTGACTGCCTCCTGTCTGAAGACACCACCCTCCTTCCTGACGGCAAGTCAAAGGGACGATACCTTTTCCTCTTCAGTAAGGCTTTTTTCCACCTCCATTGCCAATTTGAGTAAAAATACACAGTTTTTGGTCCATATTTTGACCAGTTGTCTCTATTTTACTGGTCTCCTCTCTTCATTACAACCACCTCACCCTCCCTGTTTTATTCCTCTCGCTCCTCTTTCAAAGCACGGACCGGCACTCTGGAGTCATCCGAGTTAGAGACCTTCAAGAAGCAGGCTGAGTGCCTTAAATTCTACCCAGAGTACCACTTTGGAGGAACAGGTCAGCTGCCATTTGAGCTTTGTATCTTATACCAAGTTAAAATTTTCCTCATGCTACTTTCTTCACTATTTGATCGTTGCTTTTTTTATTTCAGAGCTGTGCCCAGATGAGAGGGAACCTGCTACACCTGCAGCTGAAACTACGGAGAACACGGAGAATACGGAGAATAATCAAACTGATGTTGAGCCTACTGCTGCAAAGTAAAGCAGAGCACAGAGATGTCATGGCCCTTTGAACAGCATGCACACCCAGACACCTCCAGCTTAACAAGTGCTTCATAGTGTTGCTATGTGAAAAAAATAGATTGTGCTGTGGTTTGATAAGTCGTGGTCATGTTTGTTCCAGCAGCAGCATTAAATTAAAGGCCTGCTGGTGTTGTGTCATGTTAGATCTGTGGTTAGTAATGTGTAGTCTTATTATTGCTAAGCTGTTTGACTTTCCATAATTTAGATTAGGAAATGTTGACATCTGATTAGCTCATGGCATTTTCTGTCAGGTACAGTAATGGCTGAAAAATCCACCTAAATGCCTCCTTTAAATCACGTTAACACTCTGTTTCCCACTGGTTGTGTGAAGTAAATAAAACAGCTTTCAGTCTCCCTCTGCGTCGTGCTCTCATCATTTATTTCCACCCTTAACTGTGAAAGTGTTCGGCCTCTGAGCTCCAACATTTCTTTAACCTTTTCTGAATACAATAGAAGATGAAGACACTCCTCTGACCCGTGTGTCACGATTAAACGCCTCACCAAAACTGCTACAGTTCTTCTCAAATGCACCGCTGTTCCCAGAAACTTCAACAAAGAGTGTTGCCGGGTAACGTCACCGTTAGGGGGGAGAAAGAAGACGTCAAACTTTTAAACTGTCGCCACAAGGAGTCCACTCAGACCCACAGGGAGACAGCCTTCTTCAGGTCCTTTTTGAATGTCTCAACAGTCAGAGACAAGCTTTGGCACTTTGCCTGAGTTCATTCAGGGGCAGCGCTGCAGGCAGCAGAGGACTAATGAGCTGGCTATTCAACGCTGAGAAAGAGAAATCTGCATGGGTCTGCAAGGTCATTAAACAAACCTTCACTGGTGCATCTGAGTATGTAGAACCCCCCCTCCTCCCTGTTATTAGCACTTGCTCAACGACTTTTTTTGTGTCCGAAACCCCAGAGGGACAATGAATCAGCGTTAGAAGTTTTCTGCTGCAGCTTCAGTGACATCCTCTGCAGTGCTGCCGTCTCACATCTTCCTCTGTCTGACCATGGCTCTGCCTGCTGTTGTAGTTCTGTTGGCTCTCACTTCCCTCAGTGCTGCATCTGCACCTGACTGTAAGGACCTGGTCAAACCTTTTATGCCAGAGGACCCCAAACTGGTAGGTTTTCTCTGTCTCTTTCTTATATATCCACAAAGATGCTTAGATATTTTGAATATAACTATGATTCTTGGCTGTTTATGTGAAGGTTTTTGGAAAATGGGTGTATGTGATGGGAGCTGGTGACCCCAAGGCGTATCACAAGGCGCTGGAGTCTCTGAAAAGCTCCTGGATAGACTTGTCTCCCACTTCTGACAGTCAAGTTGTGACATTACGTTGGGGGGATTACTGCTTGTAAGTTTGGTGACTTAATCCCTGGAATATTTGGGGCAGAATCCTCCGTAAATGGAGTGTGAAGCATTATATTATACCTTCTTTAACACTATTACGCTTGTGAAAAAAAAATGCTATCACAGCATATTCTTGTTTCTCAGTGATCGGTGCATCACAGGGGAGGTAAATGCAACAGTCTCAGGGATTGCCACCACATTTCGCAGTAAGTAACACATCAGATGAGATACAGCAGCTCATTTCTTTAGCTTGGTATTAACAGAGCGCAACAACAGATCTCCATATAAATAAAACTGCATCACTCTGCTGTCCACTTTTTAAGAAAATCTCTCAGACCACAAAGGACATATTCTACAGACTTGCTCCGACTGCCTGCTGTGGACAGACACCTTTCGAAACGGGGACGTCACCGGTAGATACATCCTGCAGTTCAGTGAGTTCCTCATCTGCTCTAACACAATCAGACAGAGTGTTAAATGTGGCCAGTCCTTTTTTAAAATCTCCCTCTCCTTTCAGCAAGGACGGGAAAGATAGATCCCAAAGATGTTGAAATTTTCAAGAAACAAGTTGGGTGTCTGACCTTCCCAGAGAACTTCTACACCTACGATGGTAAAACAGGTCAGTAAGTCTTCAGTAACCTGTAATAATGACCATAGCTGAGAAACTGCGAGTCTTGACTGGAGATGACGACTCACAGAAATTGCCACAAGGTGGAGATGTTGTGTTGTGTTGTGAAATGCAGTATTTGAATATAGTTAAACACTATGTCTTTTTACAGCAAACTTGTACATGGCACACGATGCACATGGTCAGGAAATGGAAACACTGCTGCTCAGGGAATATTTGCTCTCCCCTCTTACAATTTTGCTTTTTGTCTTTATGTTTCAGAGCTCTGCCCCGACGACGAAGAGAGCACAGAGTGAGCAGCAGTCAAAAAACACAAAGAGATACAGCAACATTTGCATTAAACAAACACACGTATAGAGTAGTAGATGGAATTATCTATGCTATGAATGCCAGTGCAACATGTGACTAATGATTTTACATTCTGACTTTTAAAAACCTAGAACAGATGATGATATACTGAGTTGCATTGGGAAATCGAGGTGTCAAAACCACCGTTTTTTTTCTTACAATAATGCAGTTACTAGGGTACATCTCATGTAAATTTTTTTTTTTTTTTCAGATTAAAACTTAATTATTGTTTTACGCTAACTGTTTAATTCCTATAATTTACTGGTAATGAGAAAATTTGTAGGGTTGCTGCTGCACTATGACTAACTGGTGCATGTATCTGTATAAAGAAGAGTGGGTTGCACCTGATCATTTGTCTGGCAATACATGAAACGTTTTCGGCCATTAATGAAGGCTGGATTGGACAAAAATGTTTTGTGTATTGCCAGATAACTGATCAAGTATACTTGCTAGATGATACATTTCTGAGTGATGCTCTGAAAAAGAATATGAAACACAAATCTAATTTAAACTAGTCCATACCCATTGGTAGCTTTGTCACCTTCTACCTATGCCAATCCTCAATGCCTATGTGCAGTTTCACATAGATTGACCACGTCAGTGAGTAGAAAAATGTGGAACAGACAGAATGACACACTGACAGTTTCCATGATTATGTACAGCATACCATACCATGACTTAGTCATACCAAAAATTAGATAAAAACCCAACAACATTCAGCCACAGGGAGAGCCACAGTGATCGGTCACATTTTAGCCATTTTTAAGCATTTTTCTGTTGTTATAGCGCCACCCAGTTGCCAATTAGAGTTAAATTTCTCCAGTCACCTTGAGGCGTCCTGTTCTACATATCTACCAAGTTTACTAAAAATCAATATGGCTGTTAGGCCTAGATAAGAAATTAGCTCTCTAGCACCCCCATTTTGTTTGATGGGGTCAATAACGGAGGAGTCCCCTCGGTGAAACCCTTGAGATGTTATACACCTTTATGTGATGAGCCACGCCCTCCGCAATATTCATTGCCTTATAGAAGCTCGGTTTTAGTAAGTTTTCCAACTTTTGCCAAGAGGGAACTTTAGATATTGGTCCCTAGATTATGTTCAGCAAGTTTCATGCAGATCGGTCAAACTTCCTAGGAAGAGATCGATTTTAAGTGTTTTTCAAAAAATTCAAAATGGCAGAAAATCTATATAACCGTAAGTTATGGGTTCTTGAGGCAAATTTGTTCCTCATGAGGAGAGGCATCTCTGTGCAAAGTTTCATGTCTCTACGACATACGGGGCATGAGATATGCCCATTCAAAGTTTGCAATTTCAATTGGTTGCTATAGCGCCCCCCTTTGGCCAATTGATGTGGTATTGCTTCATTCGCATCCTCCCATGACCCTCTACCACTGTGCCAAATTTCACATGGATTGACCAAGTCAGTGAGGAGGAAAACATGGAACAGACACACACACACAGAGTTTTCGTCATTATATAGTAAGATAAGATAGTAAGATATGGCAGTGCCAAGCTGTCTGTGAAATGAAATCAAACCTATCACACACTGTCATACTGGTGAATATATTTCATGATAGTAAAATAATTAACAGCTAATAAGTCCAGCACTACCAGGCACTGGACAGACTTGATTAAACCATTTCCTTATTTAAATACACATTGTGGATGCAAGTTTGAAAAGTCTCTCAGAAACAGTTCAGTTAAGCCACCAGCCTGCTGTATTGGCTCCCCAGGCCAGCTTGAGCGCTCTCCACCTTGCATGGCCTGCTGCTGTCTCTCAGCTCGCTCATCCTTGTACTCTGTGTTCTTGAGCTGCTCTCTGCTCGTGCCAGTCGCCTACATCTGAGCAGCGCCGCCACCTGCTTCTGGGACTGAGAGGAGGCAAAGTAATAGAGGACTGGGTCCAGACAGCAGCTGAGGCTGCCCACACACATGGAGAGCAGGTACGCCTGGTAGGAGCTGTCGCTGGACTTGTGGGACAGCTGGACGTAGTGGACCATCAGGATGATGTTGGTGGGGGCAAAGCAGACCACGAACACCACTAGAACGACCACAGCCATCACCACGGCTCGAGTCTTCCTGGAGCGGTTCTCCACGTTGGCTGCTGCCAGGGCCTGAATGATTCGCACGTAGCAGACAGCAGTGAAGACAAGAGGGATGAAGAAGAAGATGGAGGAGTAGATGGGGAAGAAGTAAAGGTAGTACGCTTGTAGTTTTTCCACATCCTGCACATCGTGGCAGGTGGTGATGCCCAGGTCTGACAGATGGATGGTTTGCCCTGAGATGAGGAGAGGGGATACTCCTCCGAGGGCCAGCAGCCACATGGCAGCACACACAGCTGAAGCCGTCTGAGGGCTGCGCCACATCAATGAATTCATGGGGTACACCACAGCCAGGAACCGGTCAATGCTGATGCACGTCATGAGCAGGACAGAGCAGTACATGTTGCAATAGAAAGCTGCTGTAACAACTCTGCACATGACGGAGCCATAGATCCAGTTGTTGCCATGGTAATGGTAGGCGATCTTGAAGGGAAGGAGCAGGCCGAACAGCAGGTCAGCGCAGGCCAGGTTCAACATGTAGATTACCGCTGGTTTTCTGGGACGGACGGGATGCACAAACATCACTACGGCAACAAGATTGAGGGGCACGCTGATGATGAAGACGAGGGTGTAAACGGAGGGGACAAAGCTTGTTGCCAGGCGACCCTGGAGGAAACTTTTAGCTTCATCTGAGACAAAGTAGTGCTTCTGGGGCTGGCGGTGTGGGCCATGTCTTTTCACCGGCTCCCGCTCCAACCCTGAGCCTGACCCCCCATCATCCCTCAAACTGTCCAACACAGACAGGTCAACATAGTCAATAGGCTCATCAGTGACCATCACAAAGTGACCAGAAAATGTCCGTAGGAAGGGCATAGAACCTTTAAAGAGACACAGGGCAGAATACATCAGTGGTGTTTAGACTTTTGTCATGTGACACATTGTTTGTAAATGCTCCATTCAGACTCAGACGCAGTTATATTATTATCATATATAG